ACTGTGCACATGGAGAGATAAACAATTAGCTACTATGTCAGAATAACAAAAGGTGGGAATCTGCAAGAAAGTGTGCTAAAATCCTTGCAATGTACATAGATCACCCAGAGAGGAATGTTTTTTTTTCTCAACAAAAACATGCTCTTTAACTACCTGCCGACCACAGATAGCCGAATGACGGCTGCACTGCGGCCGGCCAGTTCTGAGTGGACGTCATATGACGTCCTCCCAGAACTCGCTCTCCTGCGCGCCCCAGGGGGCGCGCACCCGGCGATCCCGGCGATCTCCGTGATCGCTGTGTCCTACGGACACAGCTGATCACGTGATGTGGTAAAAGGCCAATCACAGCGGTCTTTTACCACGTGATCAGCGGTGTCCAATGACACACTGATCAGAGGGAAATGCAAGTGCCGGTTCTCGGCTGCACTTTCCTCACGCTGTCAGATCGTGAGGAAAGTACTGCCGAGAACCGGCAGTTGTCAAAGCGGGGATCGGCACCGATCATCAGGGCACTGATGATCAGTGCCCTGATGATCGGTGCCCAGCAGTGCCACCCGCAAGTTCCGCCCACCTGTGCCCAGCAGTGCGCCCACTAGCTCCGCCCACCTGTGCCCAGCAGATCACCCACCTGTGCCCAGCAGTGCACCCACCTGTGCCCAGCAGTGCACCCACCTGTGCCACTCTGCAGTGTCACACACCTGTGCCCAGAAGTGCCACCTACCTGTGCCCAGCAGTGCCACCCACCTGTGCCCACCCACCTGTGCCCACCAGTGCCACCCACCTGTGCCCACCCACCAGTGCTGCCCACCAGTGCCACCCACCAGTGCAGCCCAGCAGTTCTGCCAGTCAGTGCCACCAGTCAGTGTCCAGGGGTTGTGCCAGTCAGTGCCGCCAGTCAGTGCCCAGCAGTGATGCAAGTCAGTGCCGTCTATCAGTACCCATCATCAGTGTCACCTATCAGTGCCGCCTATCAGTGCTGCATATTAGTGCCGCCTATCCGTGACACCTCATTAGTGCTGTCTATCAGTGCCGCCTATCCGTGCCACCTCATTAGTACTGCCTATCAGTGCCCTTTAGTGCCGCCTATCAGTGCCCATCAGTGCTGCCTCATCAACGCACATCAGTGAAGGAGAAAAAATGCCTGTTTGAAAAATTTTATAATAGAAACAAAGAAACTTTTTTTTTTTTTTTTCAAATTTTTTGCACTTTTTTTATTTATAGCGCAAAAAGTAAAGCGCCCAGTGGCGATTAAATACCACCAAAAGAAAGCTCTATTTGTGAGAAAAAAATGATCAAAATTTCATATGGGTACAATATTGTATGACCGCGCAATTGTCAATCAAAGTGCGGCAGCGCTGAAAGCTGAAAATTGGCCTGGTAAATAAGGGGGTATAAGTGCCTGGTAGGCAAGTGGTTAAAGCAAAAGTTAACTAAGCAGTTCAATGAGTAAATAGTTTAAAATTCCACAACAATTCACCAATATAGAAATTAGTAATTTAGTGATGAAGTGAAATCGGTTATGCCAAATTCATTTCTCTCATCCTTTTTTTCTGTTTGTGCTGAGAGCTTGGAAGGTCATTTCTAACACTCTACTCATAGATATCAGGAGACTATAATAGGAGATGTCCTAAATATGCTATGTATTAAATGCACCTTATGTTCAATGTTTTTTTTTTTTCCTGTGAAATTAATGTCCTTTGCCATTGAGCAGCCTAGCAGTCACATTAGCTGCAATAGCCATGCCCTTGAGCCTCGTGGATTATTCTAGGTATGGGAATGTCCATCCCTTTCTTAAACTGTACATTTATCATTTGTCTAATTCTTACTATAACAAAACAATAAAACGGGAAAAGAGTAAACTATAAAATACAAACAATTAATATTTTACACACATGTACTAGTGAATTTGTGTTGGTTTCAGATGCATTAATGTTTAATTGTTAAAATATACGTCTATTTTCTGTGTCCTCGAGATAGGAGAACCATTGTGAATTTCATGAGCCTGTGCAACATCAATAAAATGTTGCATGCATGACCTCCTTGATATTAATAGCAAGAATTAAAAGCTTGATGGGTTTTTGGTAAGTTAAACGGCATCACTTTTAATTTTATTAGGCTCAGCATGGGCTTGTTTCTTCTACATATTATAAGTCTTTATGAGGCAAGCAGTATAAAAAGAGAATTTCAGACCATTTTTCGGTCAAGAATTAGGTTTAGCTTAATGGATCAATTCTTTTCTTATTAAAGTGAGTCTGACCAGTGGCAAGTAATTCATTCAGCATTGATCTTTGTCTCACCCTGAAGTAGCTTGCATTCTCTTATGTACATGAAAAATAAGGTGCTTCAATAAAAACAATGCCAGTTTAATACAAATATAGAATTTTTCTCCAATTTACATTGTTCCCAATGCAGTATGTTTTGGTCTTTTGATTTCATCATATGTGTGATATAGATAAGAAGAATTAAAGACTTAAATTACTTTACTAGTCTATTATAAATTAATTTAGCTCAGCTGGAACAAGTCAAAACCATTGTTTGGATCACAATCTATTAAGAAAAAATAGAACAAGAAAAGGTAAAGTATAATTAAAAATACAATTTAAATAAAGCAAAAATAGAAAAAAAAACATGTATGTCATTACAATAAAATAATTGCAGAGAATAATAAAATATAATGTTTTGTTTTTGCAGCATGTGTTATTAAATGAAGCACAGTTTTATTATTTTAGTTTCTGTTCATGCTTTTTTTTTTAATTTACAGTATTATTCTGCTGTGAAAACAACAAAAGAAAGGGACAGAGCACAGCTTAAAAAAAATAAAAAAAATAAAGCTAAACGTTGAGCAGCTTAAAGTGAAACATTCCAGAAAAAAAGGCACTGTTTATTAATTAGATAAACCAATGTTACTGCTGATTCTGCTAGGATCCAGTTTCAAAGTATACAGTATTTACTTCATTATTATTATCAGTCAGGATTTATATAGCGCCAACAGTTTGCACAGTGTTTTAAAATATAAAGGGAGACAGGACAATTGCAATACAGTTCAATACAAAAGGAATAGGTTGGTCCTGTCAATGGAGCTTACAATCTTTTTATTGCAAATGTTAGCATTTTGAAGAATGCTCTATAGTGTGTGGGCACAAAAAAAATTTTCTGTAGTGAGATGCCCATTTACTCCCCATGCTCAGATGCAGGCATAAACATCCATAAATCTCCTTTTCTCACATCTCCCTTCCTAGTTCCTTGACAAGCTGGGAGAAGTTTGGTTTTTCTGCTTCCTTCAATCAGTAGCTCAGGGAGGCCAAGCCTGATGGGACAAAGGAAGCTGGACTAGAGCTCTGCAGCTAGGTGAGAGGCCCTACACTGTCAAAAATGGTGTACCATCAGCCGGGCCAGAACCTAAAAGTACTCAGTATCTTCAGAAGACCCAGCTACTGTGGTGAGACCCTCCACAATTGCTACCAGAGTACTCCAGTTCTAGTGGGGTGGTCCTTTGTCTTTTGACCTTGGATCCTTCCAGCTGGTCACTGTTACCAGAGCTGCCCTGGACTTCACTGTGAGGCATGCTGTCTATGAGATAATCACAAGAAGCTTTGTTCAGGACTGCCTTACCCAAGTAGCATTCTCAGCTTGACTTTCTGTTGTTATAAAGTCTCATAGAGACTATGCTATACAGTCACATGTTACCCCTACTGTGTCACAGAAACATTGCTGTGAAGAGCCCATGTTTGTGCAGCTTTCATAGGTGGTTTCATAATATTCTGCAGCGTATGCATGCTCTTTGCCATCTTAAACGTGGTTTGCATGGTTGCTTCTAACTTTGAACCTGTTTAGTAAACTACAAGTTACAGTTACTCTCTCTGTGATCATTTGGCTGATTACCTATTCTGGTAAAGCTCCAAAATCCATGTACCTTTAAAGTGTAATTAAAGCCATCTTTTATTATTTATTTTGGATAGAGTAGGGAGTGGTAAAAGTGGTTGTAAACCCTTACTTATACTTAGTGAAGTGACTGGCCTCAGGTGATACACAGAGATGAAAAATCCTCCTACATCATAAGTTGTACTTGTTTATCTGCAGTATTCTTGTCCAGTCTTCTTGTACAGTCTTCTTGTCCATCCATTCAAAGTCCAGAATTTATAAAGCTTGTCTGTGCTGTCAGAAAACAGGGTGCAGAGAGCTAATAGGAGAAATGGGACACACACCCCTTTCACACAGCACACAGGAACATAGCTCAGACTATCAATCACAGGCTGTGTACTGTGTCTAATTGTTTACCTTGGGGTCAGGAAAACGTGTCAGTAGTGACTCATACAGACAGCAGAGTAATGGGGCAACAGACAGAAATGAGATTTAGTGATATTGAATTGAGATATGTGCACACTATTGAGTGATATCGTTTGTTCATATTTCATGTCTGAGGTTAAAAACCACTTTAATTCCCTGTCATATTCTTTTTCTGTTGGTATCCATTTTGGCCATCTACTTTTACTCTCAGACAGTAATAAAAACCAATGGTTTTAACCCACACATATTTTATCTGAGACAAAAAAACATTTGTCTGTACATACACTTAATAGCAAACCTGCTTTTAAGAAAAGTCATATACTGTGCTTGTTTAACTGCCTATGTACCTAGTAGATGACAATGCTGATGCAGGGACTGAAATCCTTTTGAAGTCCTGCATGATAGAAAGCAGACCAGGCAGTGGGAGGGTTGAGCTCTGCTCATTCACAGCTCACATCAGCCAATCCATTTTTTATCAGCTTCTATAGACCAAATTCAAGTCTCTACTAAGCATTTTCCATTGTGCTGTGTTGGGAATTGTGATTACCTATGTAGTCTGCGACTTGGTATCTCTTGCTCCTCTCTCAACATTTGGATACTATGCTTCATGCTTGGTCAATTGTATGTTCTTCTCACCCTCTCCCATCCCTTCACCTTGTTGCTGTATCTCTGCAGCCTCTTACCTCTTCCCCACCCTGGGTAGCTGTGTCACCCAGGGGCGGACTGACCATTTGGAAACTCAGGCACTGCCTGAGGGCCCGGGGTCAGTAGGGGGCCCCATGAGATGCCCCTGGTACCTTTTTCATAGGCTTTTTTGAGTTTGGGCAAGGACACAGGGGCCCCATGATCCCCTATTGCCTGGGGGCCCCATGAGTTGTCAGTCCACCCCTGGTGTCACCCTATCCTCCTGTGTGGATGTGCCTCTGCAGCCTGTTTCACCCCTTTCTGTCCTGTGTAGCTGTGTCTCTGCAGCCTCCTACCACCTATTATTCCTATATGATTCTGTGGGGCAGCTCAGAGTTGCTTCCCCCCCATTGACATGCACATGCCTGCTCCAGAAAAAAACTAGACAGACCGTGGTACATGTATATCTCCCTCCTAGTTTAGCTAGGGGAAGCTAGTATTTAATTGGTACTGAGGAAGACTGAGTAGCAGCTTGGGTGTACTGAAGGTCAAATCATGGTTAGGAGCTGAGAGGCTCTGCAGGCCAGCCCCTCTGGAATTTCCCCCTGCTCTAGGGCTTGGAGGAAGGCTCTAGAGGCAGTGGGTGGATCTGAGGAGTAGCTGGCTGCACTCTTGAGGGACCTTAGTCAATCCCCAACAGAAGGCTTGGCAAGGGCTGGGACACCCTTAAAAGTGTTGGAGCCTACTCAGTTGCAGAAGAGTTCAGGTGAAAGATAGGGAGGATGATGTGAGGGTGAAGGAAGGCAGCCGTGAGGAGGCCCAGTGGGATGAGGCCTATCTGCAGGCCTGGAGATGGAAAGGTGGATAGCTCAGAGGTCACTGGCCCCCTGAGGGAGGACCACCTGTATGGCAGGGAAGGAGCGGCCCAGCTGATAGGCCTGGTAATAGCCACCAAGCCACCAGCGGTACAAGAGAGGATCTGAGTGAGTACATCTGCACCCCCCTGGGTGGCTAGGGGAAGGAGCACTCTGGTGGGAAGCCAGATTAGCCACCTGCGCCAGTGACTGTTCATCTCTTTAAGTGACAGGAACCTGATCTCCTGTTCAGGGATAATTCTAGATTACTGGGTGAAGACAAGTTCACCTAGGGTCTGGGTGTCAACGCCTATGGTAGTGAGCTCTATAGGTCCACAGCTTGGGGTTCCCGAGAGCGCGGAGTCTAAGCCCCAGCCTGCTTGTTCACCAGGGCCCCCGATGGTGGGGATAGACTTGCAGCAGGCTGGGACCAGGTCGCGTCCCCCAGGTACACCCAGCTGAGGTGGAGGAGACCGCTAGTGGGAGCAGGGTACAACGGGAAAAGACACAGGGAATCCAATGGGCAAGCCGAGGTCCGGACAGGCGGAAAACAAGCAAGGTCAGGAACGAAGCCGGGGTTGGTACACAGACAACACAGGATTCACAGCGGAAACGCAAGGGAGCTCCAACAACACGAAGATGTTCAGGCAAAGTGGGACAGACTGGGCATGTCTTAAATAGACAAGCCAGCTAGGAGGTGGGCCAGGAAGTGATAGAAGGGAAAGACATAGAACCCAGAGGATAGCACACAAGAGGCTGCAGGCTAACTTGTGACACTGGGGGTGGTACACTGAAGAGAAGCTAGCTAGCTCTCCAGCAAAGACTGTGCTGCAGAGAAGAATTGTAAATAGTTCCAGGAAGTTGTCCTCAGTTTATCAGTTTCCTTGGGGATCCTGTACACCCCTAACCCTTTACCAGTTCAAATCCCCTAAAGAAAACAACAAAACCAAAGCTCAAGGACTGATATCTGACTCTGGATGCAAGCCTATGTGGAAGTGTGTGTTGCCTGGCTGTGCAGGACTATAGGGAGACCCAAATCTTATAGTGATTCCTAAGTGGTAGTGCTACACATAGTTACATAGTTGGTAAGGTTAATAAAGACACCAGTCCATCCAGTTCAATGTGTGTGTGTATTTCAGCTGGTTATTGCGTGGCCATGTAATGGCGTACCCAATTGAAATTTATATCCTTTTTTTACACAAATAGAGCTTTTTTTGGTGGTATTTAATCACCTCTGTGGTTTTTTATTTTTTGTGTTATAAACAAAAAAAGACCGAACATTTTGAAAAAAAAAAAAAAGATATTTTTTTATTTCTGTTATAAAGAACAGGGGCGGACTGACCATTCGAGCACTCGGGCACTGCCAGAGGGCCCGGGGTCAGTAGGGGGCCCCATGAAATGCCCCTGGTACCTTTTATAGGCTTTTTTGGGTGTACTTTAAGTGTGGGCAAGGACACAGGGGCCCCATGATCCCTATTGCCCGGGGGGCTCATGAGTTGTCAGTCCGCCCCTGATAAAGAATATCCAATAAACTCAAATTTCATTATAAATGTAGGCCAAAATGTATTTTGCTATATGTATTTGGTAAAAAAAAATCCCAATAAGTATATATTAATTGGTTTGTGTGAAAGTTATAGCATCTAAAAACTATGGTATACATACTGAAATTTACACAGCTTTCACTTTCTGAATACCTATCACATTTCTTGAGGTGCTAAAATGCCAGGGCAGTACAAACACCCCCAAATGACCCCTTTTTGGAATGTAGACACCCTAAGCTATCTGCTGAGAGGCATTTTGAGTCCATGGAAGATTTATTTTTTCCACAAGTTTTTGGAAAGTGACAATTTTTTTTTTTACACAAAGTTGTCATTTAAATGGTATATTTCTCACACATGCCATGGGTATTTTTTGAATTACACCCCAAAATATATTCTGCTACTTCTCTTGAGTATGGGGATACCACATGTGTGAGAAATTTTGAGAGCCTAGGTGCATACAGGAGCCTGAAATCCAATGAACCCTTTGAAAGCCTGAAGGTGCGTAAATATCTAATTTCACTTCCTCACTACCTATCACAGTTTCAAAGACTATAAAATTCCAGGATAACACAATCCCCCCCACAAATGACCCCTGTTTGGAAAGTAAACACCCCGGACTATTTGCTGAGAGGCATGTTGAGTCAATGGAATACCTTATTTTTTACCACAAGTTTTTGGAAAATGACAAACATTTATGTATTTATTTATTTTTAAACAAATGGGGAGTAATTCCACATATACCCATGGAATGTGTGAGCAATAAATCATTTAAGTGACAACTTTGTATAAAAAAAAAAATGTTTCCAATTTTCCAAAAGCTTGGGGTAAAAAAAATTCTTCTATTGACTCAACATGCTTCTGAGCAAGTAGTTTGGGGTGTCTACTTTCCAAAAAAGGGGTCATTTGGGGGGCATTTTATGCCCAGCATTGGAAGCTTATGCAACTCATCAGTCACTCTTCTAACCACTTGAAGACCAAGCCTTTTCTGGCACTTTTTGTTCACATGAAAAAATCAGTATTTTTTGCTTGGAAATTACTTTGAATCCCCAAACATTATATATTTTTTTAAATCAGACACCCTAATGAATAAAATGGTAGGTGTTGCAATATTTTATGTCACATAGTATTCACGCAGCGATTTTACTGTTAATGAACAAATACACAATAGATTGGCCAATTGTTTGGTAAAATGTAAAAGATGATAGTATGCTGAGTAAACAGATACCAAACAAGACATACTGTAAAACTGCGCACACCCTGTGAAATGGAGACAAACTGCATACATTTTTTTATATCCATAGGCGACACTTTAAAAGCCTTTACAGGCTACCATTTTAGATTTACAGAGGAGGTCTAGTTCTAGAATTACTGCTCTGAAAAATCTCATGCAACAGCGCTACACACACACATATATTCTGAGAGCAAGACCCTGTTGCTGTCAGAATAAACTGATCGGTGCTGCAGCTGAATGGCATTGCTGCAAAGAAAACAGCATATGAGAATCATCATGCAATTCTAACAACTCAGCAACCTGGGAACAGGGTCAGATACAACTGACCTTACCAGGTACCTCTACTGCATTGTCTGAGCTATCTGTCAGGGTGCCACTGCTGTCTACAGGTTTGTATTCTGAACCTGATTCTGCCAGTGTGGCTTCCCCTTCAGTCTCTTCTGACATACTCAGAATCCTGTAGGCCTCTTCAATAGAGTACATTTCATTGGACATTGTGGCCACTAAATTTATAGGTACCTAGTGCGACTCACTGGAAAAAGACCACCTGGCTGTCAGGGACTGCTTGAATCGCTACACAAAAATTTACTTGCTAGTCAAAGCAGAGATCAGGCCTGATCTTGCTAACCCTGCAGTTTTGTGTGCAATGTATCAAGTGATAGTGATCTACTGACACTGCACTTGCTGAGTGGGGGGGGAGAACGTATGGGGCTAAACACAGGTGCTTGCAGGTGCAGGGCTGATCCTGCTAACGCTGAATTTTTGTGGACACTATACTAATGTGAATGCTGTTATAGTTCTGATCAAAGATATTGATCCATTCAGACACTATACGCTAACGCTAGCTAAAGTCGCCTGTGACACTAATACAGTGGTTAGAGAAAAAATCGGCACCCTGTACTAATGACATTGGTGACACTGGTGACAGGCCAGTGGTGGGGTTAATTGGGGGGGTGATCAGGGGCTTAAATGTGACCTTTCTGTGCTTTTACTGTAAGGTGTAGTGCTTTTGACTGCGTGGATCTGCTTTCTTCTCTTTCTGGAACAGAATGTGCTCCAGAGAGAAAAGATTGCATACTTTCCTGTGCCTGTGTAATGTAAACATGGGCACAGGAAGATCTGTGATAGGGCAGTGATCAATCAAAAGATCCAGGCTGAACATCACTGGCTTGAATCTGCTGACTGATTGGTGCTGGACCGATTCACAGCACCTCCGGGTTGGCAGGCGCACACGCGCCCCCTACCTGTGAACATGGTGGGAGATTTTGCACAGGGAGTCCGCCCTGTAGCAGTAATCCTGCTATAGGGTGGATGACAACTGGTTAAAGTGATGACCTACAATGTTATTGGTATGTGCTCACCTTTTAGGAGGAACAAACTCTGGGTTGAAATCTAATGCATGTCTCCACATTTGTTGGTGCTACAGGAGACACATTTTACTATGATTTTACTTTGCCTTCTGCCCCTAAAGTGCCTTCCCATTGGTACAATCAATTCCCCATGTTTTAAGGCAAAGGGGGTTATGGCAATACATTGCACATGTCCCTTAACCCTAATTAGAATTAGAACACTAATCTCTGATACACCACTCTATCTTTATTAAAGCCCTAATTAATGTCTATCAATTAGAGATGTGCACAATGCAAAAATGTATTTTGCTTCAGATTCATTTGTTAAGTCAGTCATTCCATTTCGTCATATTCATTATGTTAGAATGATTCATTTTTGGAATTCATTTCATATATTTGAATTTGTTTTGTATTTTTGTTGTTCCAAATCAATTCATACTTTTAAGAAGTTATTTCAGAAGATCTCTTGATTCTTTATCCGATTTCAGATTATTTCAGAATATCGGACTCATTTGGTATGTTGTTATGTCAGTAATATTTCAGTAACTTGCTTGCGACTTCAATGTGACTTGCTTGTGGCTTTGATGTGACTTGTTTGTGACTTCAATGCAACTTGCTTGTGACTTTGCTATTTTGTGACTTTGGCTTTGGCCAATCATAAGAACGCAGAGTGTGACACATATTATTAGACTTACAAAACCCTCTGAAGTCACAAATGAATGAAACAAATTATTACAAATTAAAGTATCACTAAACCCACAACAATAAAATCAGTCTCCATTCACTGTGGAACCTAAGGGGTTAATCCTCTGCATTGTGTAAAAAGGCCCTTTGATCTTGTCTTCTCTGCTCCTCCACTTATTCTAATGTCCACAGCTTATCTCCCTATAAGTCAGACCGAACCCGTAGCCATTCTGCATGTTTAGTTTAGTGTGTATTGCTAGAGAGAGGTTTTTTTTTTTTTCCTGGGAGAGTGCATGTCATCAGCACAGGGCCAATCAGCACCATCCAGACAGAGGTCAGGGGTTTTGCATCCTCCTAGAGAAGAAAGAAAACTCCTCCTACAAGCTTTAACCAGTGCTCTGCTGAACACTGATAGAAGTCACAAGACTGCTCTAACTGCTGATGCAAATAGATTTTTAGCAGTTTAATTTTACTAAAAAAAATTGCACTTCCATGTTCTGTGTACTGTGAGAGACCAGTGAATGCAGGGTCCTGGGTTTAGTAACACTTTGTTGTTTTCATTATAATTTATTTTGACTTGAAATTCATTACTTTTGTGATTCAAAGATTTGGATACATTTGAATGTCTGAATACCAAAAATTTCATCTGATTTTCAATTTGAAATGAAACAAATTGCACTTTCACAAGTACACTGTACATGCCTATAAGATCTCATTTATTTATTCAGTTGTGAATTAGCAGCTTGAGTTCACAAAGAGTTGTGCATACAAGAATTTCGAGAGTTACACATAGGACTTTAAACTACACCACCTACGAACACATTTACAAAATTAACCCAATTTACAAAAATAGCTAAATTTATTCATACAGTGTAAGACACTATACATATTTAAAAACAATTTCTTGGTAATTAAATAATACTATGCACATCACAGATTTATCATATGTACTCCACAAATTACATAGTCTTTGTATACACTACAAAATGGTCAACTCATTTTGCATGCTTCCATGCTTCATCAGGACTGTTAGTGAAATGCATACTCATCAATGTGCTAGTAACATATTCTAGTATAACAATAAATGTAAATAATTTATTTAACTTGCTCATAATTATAGGAAAAGGGGGAGAGATATAGTAACCCACCCAAAAAAACTGCCTCCAAGAGAAACACTACACCCAGCTACAATATAAACAGCATATGCAAAAGTACCCTGCAGACTATTATTGCAGACTCTGCAGACTGTATTTTTAAAGTACAGTTATTCTTTAAGTGTGTGAGTCATAGTTCTTTTGATTTCTGTTATTTACAGTATTTTCAAAACGTAATATCATTATTTTGACAAATTTCATTATAAGTGTATGCATATATAATCTTGACACTTAGAAATGTATTTTTAGACATTTATATTTATTGCTTAAGCTTGTACCATATTTGGTAACTGACCTAAAGCCTTTCAAAGAGATATCAGTGAATTTGATTTTGAACGCAAATTTATATATTTTAAAGAAAAGGTCATACTGAGAAATGACAAATCCATTAGCACTCATATAATTGCATAAAACTGTCATAATCTAACAGTTTAAAACTATAATTAATTAATGCGGCCTATTTCTTCCAAGTTCTTCTATGCAATTTTATTGAATAGACATATTTCTAAATCCCAAATTGTGACATTTTTTATT